TTCGAGACCTCTCATTCAGCTGCACACGGTCATTGCATAGTTATATGACAAGCAAACTGTTCAATCAACGATCGACCTAGAGAGATAAAACGTGATAGGTAATCTGAAACATGGGTCTAGTATGCAGGTGCATACGGTGTGGGGGGGAGGGGGAGAGAAGTCATCCAAGTATGAGAGTTAGGACTACAGTGAGAACTTGTGCGGCGTGATTTAGAGTGCAACGTGCTTAATAGGTTTTTGCAATTTCAGTCATTTTAGTCCTTTTTACTGTCGAAATCGGTTATTTTTACTTTTTTAAAGAGTTGAAGATATTTCATATATTTTTTGGAAGAAGTCATGTGCTTCCTTGAAATGTAGTTTAGCTTCAAAATTATCGGTGGCTTCGAATTACTATTGAGACTGCAGCTTTGCTTTTTCAACTTTGAAGTTTGGTGCATCCGTGTTTTGTTCAAAAATCAATTGATCCTACAGTTGTTAATTTGAGGGATTTGCGCTTTAATGACTTTCTTGTCTGTGCAGTGCGTCCTAGTAACCGTGCGTGATAAACACGGAAATAAGTCAAACTACAAATATGATAGGGGACAGTCGATGATTTGGACAAGACCTTTGACCGTCTGACGATTTTGGTTTGTCGCCGAAATCCTCATCGGAAGGCGCAGACAAGGAGCGCAGCGCATGCAAAATGAGTCTTTTTATTTGCAGGATGCATTTGCTGAGCAATTAGATGCCTATCTAAATAAGCAGCTTCCTGATTCATCACAGACGATCGTACTTCCTGCGACCGCCTCGACCGGACTCATCAATGCCATGGTTTTATGACCGTGATGAGTATTCAGTAAATTTTGCTATGGATGGTGTCACCGGAATCGGTGCTTGCCCATGTGCTCCTGTGTGAATAATTGATCTGTACAAGCAGACTAGGTAGGTTCAGTATAGGCAGCAGTTTCATCGCCTTGTTACTGGACTGTGGGCGGGTAGGGCATCCGTCCTAATCGAATAAGTTCTGATGTTGATGTTCAAAGAATGTCTCCCGAGTTTGAAAGTGGACGATCAGCTGGCCGTTCTTGATGTCATGGCATGAAGGAAACCCTGTCGAACGACAAGCGTGACCCAGGTTCTCATCTTCAACTAATAAGTACACACTCAGTAGCACAGGAAATTGTGTAAGGGCGCTTTATGACCGTGTAGAGTCCTATTATGGTGGGCCGGAGGATAGAGATACCAAACTTCACTGCCTCTGACGAGTGCTAAAAGCGATTGACGTCCGCGCTTGACGTCTTCAGATAAGGGCGAAGACGCAGGAAAACCAAACTACAGCGGCTGCAGATTTAGGGGCAGTATTTTTACGTCAAGAACGTCTGGAAAGTAGTCATTTACCCATCCGCACCACTTGGTCCTGAACTTGCACACAGACACAGGGGGTAACCATCAGATACCGAAGAATAAGATAGAAAACCCGCTGCCCCATTACGAAGCCCTTGAAGCAAGTACGAGTAAGGGACCTAAATCGGACTGATGAAAACATCACTTTTGACACGTGTAACCGAACATGTAGCAGCACTGAGAAAGAAGGACGTTAAGTCTGGGGATGTGGGCCATTCTGAGGGGCCAAATAAAACCTCCGAGTTTCAAAGAGGGTTAGTTTCAGTTGAGAGACGAAAACTGTGCCAGCATCGAGCCATCTTTATCTTGTTTCTTCCGCACATTCACTACTCGAAAAGGGAATAATGCAGCCGGGACACTGGAGATCGGGCCAAGTACGTCCGTCTGTGTTTAGTGCTGCAGCAGTTACTGCATCCTATTAGCCCTACAGTCCATTTGTGCCGACTATGCCGCCTCCGATTTCTGGGTGCCAGCGTACACCCATATTTCATCAATCGAGTTTTCTTCTTCTCAGCTGCCTCCTAAATCTCGTAGTTCGTAAGTACCGTCAAAGACAGCGAATTCTTACACGTATACAGGAATCAATCAAATGATTCCGAAGAGAAGCGCTCTTGACAGTCTGATCTGCGGACATAGTCTAATGTTACTGACATTCACAGAAATAAAAGAGAATTACCAAGGCGGAGTTACTTTTAATGTAACTTTTATGAGAGCTTACTTGGCTCACCTTTGTGGAATTCGAAGGTCAATTGGCTCGGCTTGTGGGTTAAAGTTCTGCCTTTTCTTCTGCATAAGACGGTTTGACAGTGGTAAGCCGACCAAATGCCCCGATAGGTCGACTTAGTGAGACTTTTCTACTTCCCAAATTATCATCCCGAAAAGGTTATCCATGTCAACTTGACAATGTTATTCTGTGCGCACAATCTGGGTACCGGTCCGATGACGCAAAAACATTTGGGGCCACCGATTTAATTCATGTACGTATTTTGCTTTTGTTATTTCTACAAAATTGTAATGCGTTGGATGCGTGCCCAAAAATGCGCAGCAAAATGTGCAGGCTCCGAAAAGTCAATTTTGCGAAAATATTGTAGATGTGATGTTATTTCTGACAAGAGTCAATAAGGCCGACACTGAAAACAGGTTCAAAAGCATGACATTTGCTCTGGCTAAAAGAAGAATTTCCTAAATCTCGTTCATAGTGAATGTATTAACACAGGCATATTGTATTCTTGCACTAGTTCAAGAATTCAGAATGTTCTGACGTGGGATAGAAACTGGAACAAAAATGTTTTGTCGGTATAATTTTACCTAAGTGCACTGATTTAAGAATCATTTTTAACTTCCTACGACGACTTACTGGGAGGATCCCGCAAAAACACCAAAATACTGGTTACAAAGGTTCTTGTGATCGCGACCATAGCGGAGCAAACTGATCCCTCTGTCAGCAGGTCGGAGATTTAACAGAAGAGACTGACTTTTGTTGTCGAACCAGAAGAATGTGCGCTTCACTTTGAAATTTTTGACCGCTTCTTCTGGCCGTTTTTAGTGGATCATTAATTAAAGCAGACGAAGATTGTCCGCAGTACGCCAGGCCAGCGAGTGCTTAATGGCGGTAAAAAGTTATGACTATATCCGGAAGTGTTATATCCTGTACTATCCGACTTGATTGCAATACGTTTAAGTCGTAGTGCGCGCCGTAAACGGCAGTTGCAAACGTACGTATATTTGGTCACTAAGTGTTTTGCCTACTAAAGTGATAGGTACCAAATCGCCTTATTCACTGGCACGACCAGATGTTAGCTATTTGACTTGCGCTTAACTAAAACGGAGAAAGAACAATGAATGTTCGACTTACGTGGTTTGCAGGATAAATCTAGTTCAACATATTTCCACTTTTTGTTTCTTTATTGACCATCTTCATCCGCATCAAGGACATCATTTTCACCTTCGCCATCGTGATCATACTTATTGTCACTATCACTAACGAGATCAAACGGTGATGACAGCAACGACCACTGGCACCCACACATTGTCTTCCTTACCAGCATAGTCCTACATATTACTTCAAAATTCCCTTTTTTTAAATTTTTATAACAAAATGGAAAAGGTTAATTCATATTCGACTTTTTGTAGGCAAGCTACCAGTACAGGGGAAGGAAATATCGTATCAAACTTACGGGATAAATGAAAATCTACATTCTTTGCGGAGTGAGTTATACGTGTCTCGATTAACATCGCCCTCTATGCAGTGTAACACCAGTCTTAACGTATAACAGTAAAACACACCATTATAATGAACTTGCAGCAGCTATATAAACAACGAACGAAAGATTATATTTCATCTTCGACTTTCCTCTCATCGGTTAATTTTAACTCAAAAGTAGACCAGTTTCTATTTAGCTGGCTGGAAAACAACCACATCTACTGCTGTCTGAAGTTTATACAGAGCTTACTTTGGCCCAGAGATACTTGGTTGCACGTAACATGAATTAATTATAAGAAGTTAGCCTACTTTGGCGGTCGGAATGAAAAAAGCGAGTTAGAGTTTAATTTACTGGAGCAACACATGGGAAGAAAAATGAAGAACTTGCAGACGGTATTTGTATAAAGACGACTGCACAATCCGTATTTAAATCATTTACTGATACAATTCGAGAAACCTGTACCGAGAAGATTTTCTGACCCGAAACATTAACAAGCAGTGATGGAAGTTAGAGGCTAAATACAATAAGTTGCCTTAAGATCTGGCAAGTAAGACCTTGTCCGTTTTGGTAAGAACATTCTTTTGCACTGTAAACAGCGATCAAATTCTTAACAATGATCATCATTAGTATGGAGACCAAGCAAATTAGCAGGAAGGCCTTTCTACTTCACAGACAATATAAAACACTAGTACTCGGAGCAATACTGTAACAATACACGGCTTCATATGTTTTAACTAGTCCACTTTAAATAAGAGGTAGTAACGTATCCGTATGTAATTAAACTTTGGCATTGTTGGACAAACACATGACGGCAGTTCGTTACATGATGTTAAATAGTATAATTTTATTCCATGTAACTTTTCCCAGGTTTTGCGTTTTAATTATGCGCCAAACATTAGTCAAAATAAGTAAGATTTAAAAATTATGTCTAAATCATAGGCAACCGTAATAGTATGAAAAGTCTGTAGTTAGGTATAAATCAAAAACAGTGTCAGTAAATGTGCCGGAATTTCGTTAGACAAAGATGGCAAAAGTCAAAAAATTGGAAGCAAATTTGTGAATCTCAGGTTCTTGTTGTTAAGACGATGAACACACGATCTCTGGGACAGAAGGTGTATTAGTCTGAGTTTTCTGTCTCTTACAGGAGGCCAGCGTCGGGGACTGTGAGAATGCGACATTAAATGAGCAGTTTTTTAGTTAAGCCATGAAGGGGGGGATATGAGTTCAGAGGGTGGTATTCGCGATAAGTTGATTCCCACGCCGTCTCACGGCGGCGTGACTGCGTGCACCCTTGGCTGAAAATTGGGTCTCGCCTCTTGGCCGTGGGAACGGAGCGCGTGATAGCAGGGGGTATGTCAACGTGTCTGTTGATAATAATGCATCCAGCCGAAAAAAGGAGGAGCAACCATCGTGATGAACCGCGTAGACTACAACGAAAAGGCACAAGCCCGCCTCAACGACCAACAGTCCTACAAATGCACGCCTTCCTCCCGAGCCAAATCGATGATTGGTCAACTAACCGAACTCCTGAACCGACTCAGGCGAAACAGTGCTATATCGCTGGACGAAGGGCGACAGGTGAAACCAACGGACACGGCACTGGTCCGGTTTTATGGATTACCAAAAATCCACAAGCCCAATGTTCCCCTTCGAGCTATGGTTGCCCTGAAAGGCAGTCTCACTAACAATCTATCCAGGTGGATGGCTCGAAAATTTAACTTTCTCCGAGAATGCTCGAGGACCTCCATCAATTCGGCCTCCCAATTCCTGGCCGACATCCGAGGAAACGTTGTCCGATCGGATCAGATTATGGTGTCCTTTGACGTGGCCTCATTGTTCACATCCAACACATCGGACCTGGCACACGACATTCTTCGCAAACGACTCGAAGAGAACTAGGACGAAACAAACAGACCCCTAAGAATCGACCACTTGCTGCAACTCTTTGCTTTCTGCCAACAAACCTTTTTCACCTTCAATGGCAGAACATACGAGCAGATTAAAGGAACGTCGATGGGTTCGCCAATATCCAGTCTGGTTGCAGAATTAGTCTTGCAGGAGCTGAAAAGTCGACTTCGACCACTATGAACCTGCATTTTGGCGCCGGTACGTGGACGACACGTTCGCTATAATTGAAAGGAGCAGGCTTTCAAGACCTGCTTAACGGCATCTTCCCAGACATTCAGTTCACAAGGAAAGAAAAGCATGCCTTTTCTTGAGGTCCTCGTCACACGCAAACCCAACGGTGAACTCCACAACACGGTGCACAGAAAGGCGACAAACACGACTCAGATTCTCAACTACCATAGTAACCAACCACTGGCGCATAAACGCAGCTGTATTAGGACACTCTTCCGAAGGATAAAAACGCACTGCAGTGAGCCAGAGGGACGAGTTCGAGAACTTCGGCAACTTCGGAGACAACTGGCAAAGAATGGATACCCTAACAGCTTCGTCAGCCGCTGCCTCCGCACGCACTCAAGGCGTACAAACGGAAGAGAGCCGCCAACGCTCTGTCACCCTCTACCATATATAAAGAACGTGTCCGAAGCGATGGGACGTATCGCTGGAGAGCTCGGTGTGGGTATCACTCACCGTCCGACAGCGAACATCCGCAACAAAATCATGCGATTGAAGGATCGACTGGACGTGGGAGAACAATCGGGTGTCGTTTATCAGATCCAATGTCGCGACTGCCCTCGCTACTACACAGGACAGACCGGACGACGACTTAGCTCACGAATAAAGGAGCATAAACGGGCGGTCCGGAAAGGCGACCCGTTGTCTCAGGTCGCTACTCACACCTTGGAGGAAGGCCACAAATTCAACTTCGCTAGCACAAGGATAGACGCGCGGGCCAGTAATATGGCAGGGCGAGAACTGTTGGAGGCCTGGTGTCTGACACCAACTCTACCAACATACACGTTTACATCCCCCCTGCTATCACGCGCCCCGTTCCCGCGGCCAAGAGGCGCGACCCAATTTTCAGCCAAGGGTGCACGCAGTCACGCCGCCGTGAGACGACGTGGGAATATCGCGAATACCACCCTCTGCACTCATATCTCCCCCTTTTATGGCTTAAGTACAAAAACTGCTCATTTAATGTCGCATTCTCACAGTCTCTGACGCTGGCCTTCTGTACGAGACAGAATGTACAGACTAATGCAGCTTCTGTCCCAGGCATCGTGTATTTTTCTTCTTTACAGACATGTAATTATACATTTTTGTCATGTTTATGTCGAAGCAGCTGCCTTCACCGATCAATAGGACGGCGACAACACGAGAAGTGACATTCACATATCGATCAGTGCCCGAAACCGGCGAACTTTACTCATTGTTCGTCTACTGCGAATGGCTTGCAGGGTGAAACTTTTGAATTTTTTTCAAGGCAAAATTACATTCTTGCAGTTAGAGGGTCCTGAAAATGTGTTAGTCGGATGTTACCTGAATGCACCTTAAATGGGAGTGAGTAAATACAACTCAGTTTGAGAAATGCTCGATCAGGAAGACAAGTTATTATGAGGTGACACTATAGACCTCAACCAAAATAAACGGTATTACCTGAGTTAAATCGAAGTAACACTCGCGCACGGCTTTCGGAGTTCGCCGGGTTGTTCGTTTGTCGGTGAATTTGGCGAATGTTTTCACTTATGAAGAACCATAATGTCCATGGGATACTTTATGCTTTATACTTTATGCTTTATACTTTTCTCAGCTGAAGGAATTTTACCTTTTACCATCTGTATTGGTTTATCCAGGACTGAGAATATCTGCTTAATGATTTGATGTATGTATTTGTCGATCCGAGTAGGTAGATTGACTTAAGCACTTTTGTTTCGCGCTGGAAGCTACGGTTGGTATAATGATTGAAGACGTTGGATTTTCACTCAGGCACCCTGATATTATTTGCTTTACAACTGCTCTCCTGGTGTCCGTGCAATTGCATTGTAATAAAGTAGGATGTTTTAAAATGACAATTGTAATATACATATGACTAAAGTACGAAACATGAACATTGGGGCAATGGACTGATCGCCTCTGAGCTCTTTATTAATACGATCGATAATTTATGTGGACATGAAAAGCCAACTAAAGGAATGAGTCAAGTGAATTGTAAGCGTAGTGTTTAAATGGTAGCATGAATGTCATTTGGGTTTGAATTTGGACAGAGATGAAGGATGAAGCCGTGCCGCTTCATTATTGTATGACAGCCTTTGTCCACTTATTCCTTTGCCTTACACCATGAAATAAGACATTTTCAGCATCCACTGATGTCGATATTTTCCCCGGGGAAAGAGCTGGTGATAGCTTCTCAAATTATCGACATTTATTCAAAATGCTGGTGGCCATGTCAGTGTACTTTAGACAATGCACTGAAAAGTGATCGAATTTGGCCGGCGCCAAGTGACTGTTAATCCCCACGGAATCTCTGTTGAGTAACTGCTACTTTCCCAAAGAAAGGTCATCGGTTCGCACTATTCTACACCGCCTGTGTAAATGTCTCGAGTGCAACGTTTCTATTCACCCAAGTGATCCTAATGCGTATACTTCGCTAGCAGTAGTTTTGCCACAAGTAACTTCTTTTGGGTGCCATAAGGACATGGATGGCAATCAGCAGAAGCTAAAACAAGGCTATATCTCCACCTTACAAATTACCAACGAAGCTTGTAGATACGTTTAGCATATGAACACACTTTGCATTTTAATGAGTACATTTTTAGTTTACATATTCTGCAATGCCAGTCTGATTTTGATTTTTGATCATTTCGAACGCGAAGCTCCCATGTTTACTTAAGGCACGAAAAGCAAAGTGGTCGATGTGTCATCGTTTGGAAGAAGTTTATCTTGCCCGAAATTATACTGTTCATTCGCTTCCAGCATAAAAGCCGCAAAAAAGTTTCCCACGTGTTGCCAGCAATAAAATATCTCAGAGTTAGCTGGCTTTGCTTATTTGATGCCCTCACAGGCGCATTGGCGCACAGCTGCCTATTTACAGAGTCATAAAAAACAGCCGTTCGCAGATGTCTGTTTTCATGTACTCCTTCATTGTCTGTAGAAATACTGGAAGGTTTGCTGCTGGCAAAACTCATTTAACAACTTACCGACAAGAAATACAGAATTCGTAGTTTACAAATCCTGAAATAAGGAAATATCAGGTCATTTCCAGGGTTGTCCTATTGTTGTGGGAATTATTTATCAGCGCAAATGGGGTTTTCATGTTAGCAGGAAAAACATAGTCAACATATAGGCCTAAGAATACATTTGAAACAACTGTTTTACTGTCTAACAGTGCCGGCATGGTTTTCTGCTTCATTAGATGACAGTGCACCTTAACCCATGAAAGTCAAACATGCAGCAGATGTGCTAACTCATGAAATGTCAACCAAAATTTCGAAATGCGTTCTCGTTTAGAAAGGATAAATGAAGTATTGTTGTAATAGTAAACATGAAGCAGGGTGTCGGCTTTCGAAACAACTTATTTTCGACTGCATGCAAGATCTATACTCTGCAAAAAATGACCACTTAAGTAATATGCAATTTGCTCATTGATTTTCGATGCCCTTGAAAATTCAATTATATTTCATAGAAAACATGCAAAAAAATATTCATTCTTTTACTTATTCGGTAGACAAACCACATCTTCTTCCAATTTCATACTCAAATGAAAAGTGTAATTCGGTTTTGAAAAAGTTTCTAATTGGTGAGATTTTTTAATACCGTTAAATGGCCGTTCATGAAACGTCATGTATCTGCATTTACGAATGTGGCTTGTAAAGTTAACAATATTGCTGAAATCTCCTGCTTAATTTTATGAACCTTATATGGTCTCATCTTAACACCGTAGAGAAATGCATGGTTTCTCCGTACACGGAAAGTATACAGCTTGTAGTTTTGAGACCCTGAATGCAAGTGTAACAGCAGGTCGTGTTCAAAATTATTCGGGAATTAGGAATGTTTTTTAAAAGCGAATTATACTTTTCTTTTGAGTATAGATCTTGCATGCAGCCGAACATAAGTTGTTTCGAAAGCCGACACCCTGGGGTAACTGGATCATTATAGATTTATGCTGCAGCCTGATTAGTTTTAGAACACTACTTAATTTATCTTTTCGAAACGAGAACGCATTTCGAAATTTTGGTTGACATTTCATGAGTTAGCCCTTGCGCACGAAGTAGTTTCGTTTTAAATGTATGTATTATTATCTTTGAATGATGTCTTAACTTTAGTCGCCTATCGTAATTTATGATTGCTCGTAAAGTACAGAAAGGATCTTCCTATGCAGTTGATGACGCATCTCCTGAGATTTTAACTCTGATGGGGAAAATCACTTTAATGAAAGTAAGAATATTATTTATAATACAGGGTTATTCAATGGTGCTTCAGTTACTTTATTATGCCGGTTTCTGGATTCCTTTTAGTTTGATCACTTTCAAAAGCCCTCTTCTGAAAAACAAGGTATTTTGTATAATTCTGACGGTGAATTTCAGTGTTTCGACAGATATATTTTACAGGAAGTGTACACAAGAGTACCCGTTTTTTTTAATTTTTTCAGACAAAAAATGAGGCGAAATTAACCATTAGCCACCAGGGTCTGGATGCGTACAAACTTTCGGAACTCACTACACACTGCAGAAGTTGGCATTTATCCCTCGGATTATCCGCAAAACCTTTCAGATTGCCATGGACTAGCGAAATATCGCGAATAAAATTAAGCTTCGGCTACCTAGCATATAGTAAGTTTATAATTTTGCAAATCGCTTAGGAGGGGACGTTGAGTTGTCTGACGACAACAGACTCTTTCTGTGCTACTTATTGCCTATCAATATTCGGTCGTCCGAAGTCTATTGCATCCGCGCACCCTATCCTTCAAATACAACGGTCAGTAAACGAAACCCCTG